GACCTAAGGTAGGATGGCATCATGACACTTTACACTGACAAAAAAAAAAATACATAGATAAAGCCCTTCGTAAAGTGTGGGCTGTACTTGTGAGAACAATTTTTTGTATTTCTTTAAGGCATCCCTTCAATTAGTCTACTGCAATATTTTCCAACCATTCCTAGGGCTCCAACTACAACAGGGATTGTGGATGTTCCCATGTGCCACCTTTTATAGATTTCGATTTCAAGGTTCTTGTATTTTGATATTTTTTGAAGATCTTCAAAGATACATTGCAGTCAGCAGGGACTGCCATATCAATAAGGAGGCACTTTTTTTGTTTGTGGTCTTTAATAACAATGTCTGGGCGGTTGGCTTTGATTGTTCTGTAAGTGTGTATTGTATAGTCCCATAGTCGGGTTTTATACTCATTAGGGTAACAATATCGTGCAACCTGATACAAGTTTTATTATTATTATTATTATTATCATCATCATTCGATTTCTGCATGGACACACTACCACCAAGTCTGCGGAAAGACCTAAGGCAGGTCGTGGTGTGTTGTTATGCCACATTTCATGTTAATTTTTTTTTTTTTTTTTTATTCCGATGAAGTTTAACAAACATCACAAAGTTCTCCTTAGTGTGTGCTGTACTTAATAAGACAATTTTTCTGTATGTCTCTTAAGCTGGGGTTTCAATTCTTTCAATGTGTTGTTTTGTTCCATTTTTATAATTCCAAAATGCACCTATTACCACTGGTATTATTCTTGTTTTCACTTTTTTTTCTATTTCAATTTCCAGGTTAGTTTTCAAATTCTTTGCGTTACAATCCGCTAAACATCCGGCCTATTTGAATTTTTTCTGGCCATTGTATAATCCCACAGAATGGTGACATTTCGAACTCTGTAACCGGGTCTCATGTTCCAGTGTTTGACACATTTTCCAAAGTGTTTGCACATTGTCCAAATGTAAGTATTTGCCCACTCTATCGTGTCGATTTTTTATATTCATTTTGGGCAATTTTTCTTTGATTAGATGGTTTACATGTTTCTTGGTATTTGTCTTAACCTGCATTTTGGATCCACATTATTTTCTCATATTTGCCTGAAAATTCCTAGTGAAAAGACTCTGGTCTTCGCTGCAAAATAAAGCCTTCAGTTTCAGACTTTAATCCAGATGCTCGTAACCATTGAGTATTAACTTTATCAACATTGAACGTTCTGGATATTGGCCATCCAGAGGTTTGTCTTGCCAGCGTTGTTTCATCTGTTGCTGGCTTTATCCTTGGCTTTCTTTTTTCATATCTTTTGCTGTAATAGTTGGTTCTTGGCTTCATTTATTTTAAATGTTGTTTGTATTTACTATTATTGAATATTTTTTTTCTTTCTGTTTTTCATTTTCTTTCATTTGTTGTTTCCATGTTTAAATAGTTGTTGTCTTGTATGACAATTCTAGGTTCCACCTTCTTTTTACTATCGGTCTACATCATTCCTTTTTGATGATACATCTTATACTGAAAGAAGCTTTCTTGTTTTAGAATCCATTTGTCTGATGTCATTTAGATCCAGTTCCCTATATTGGACCACTTTTATTAATGGCCATTTCTGTTCTGAGAATTCAAGTTTTAATACCAGGTTTCTTAGTACTTTTACGCTATTTTTCATTTTTATGGTGAATTCCTTCACTCTCATTTTACACCTGGGTATTATAAGCTTCAAATCTTTTATTGTTACAGCAGGGTCTAAACTAATAGAGGAAGTTTGCAAAACTGTCCACATTTATCAAATTAATTTCATTCAATGTCTTCACTGGTTTGCAGAAGACCTTCCAGCCATTGTCATTGTGGACAATTTTAAGTCATCCATGTAAAATAGATGGTTTATTTTCTTTTGAGCTATTTTGTAACCTTTTCTTGTTGTTGGCTGGTTAATACTATAAGTGATTTAATAAAGGAGACGAGTTTGAAATATTCTCTATTGATGTTTATTTCTGGACTTATAGGTTCCATTTTTATGATTGAGGTAAAGTTTTTTCATATCGATATTTTTGATAAAATTGATCTTACCTTGTACATACTTAAAGACTTTAAGATCCATTGAATGCTTTAGTCCATCCAGGCAATACTAAGGGAAGCAGTTTTCCAGGATTTATATCTTTACATCCGTAGCAGCCCTGTTTGCACCCTTTTTTTTGTTCAAGTGGTAGTATGTCATTTCTTTTTGTCTGTTTTGTTAAAATAGATGTTAACAGTTTGTATGTTGTTGGAAGACATGTAATTGGTCTATAGTTTTTCGGAATATTTGTGTCAATTTTTTGTCTGGTCATCCATGCAGGAATTTTAGTTGGATCGGTGATTGTTTTTTTTGTGCTGTATTTAAATGTTAGTATTATTCCTGGAGATTTCCATTGTGTGCTTTTTCAGTGCACATAACATCTTCTTCTGTCCCGCCTTTGGTTCTTTTATTTTCATTCGTTCTAACTTAAATCCAATCTGCCTCTTCGTTGTGTTCTTTTAGGCAAGCCCATATTTTTCCAGAACTATAACTTCTTCCATTTTAGGGGGACAACCCTATTTCCCTGTAAAATTTCTTTGCATCGGTTTTGAAAAGATTTGTTCTGTCTATAGAATCTTGATCTTTTCTCTTTTCTTTGATCTTTTATTATTATTATTATTATTATTATTATTATTATTATTATTATTCCTTTGGTGTCTGGTGTATACTCATTTTCTTTCCGGGTAAAACATTTTATTTAAAAAACTTATCAAATTCCCGACTTATCAAATTCAAGAAATAGCGAAAAAGAAAAATAGGCTAAAATACTCAATATAATAAATTCCCATTTGTAAATTTTGCTATCAAAAAATCACAAAAAAAATACTTATGTAAATAGGTAAAATAAAGATCTATCTTAATACGGATCGAGATATTTAGTATTTCAAATCTCTCACAAAATTTATAGTTTTAAAAAAATGTTTCTTTTTAAATTATTTTTTTCTTATTTATACTATCTACATGCAGAATATTGTCCTCTTCTTTATCGTCATCACAACGTTTCGGCCGTTGTGCACCCCAGCCTTCATCAGGTGTATGTTGATCCGGGTAGCCCACAGGGCATTGTGTGCATGGTCTCAGTGGAAAAAAGGGTGAACAATAACTGAGCAGTACTAAAAATAAGAGCTAGATATGGACAGGGGAATGAGAACAGTCTACACCTATAAATTAAATAAAGGGTTTAGTTCGGAATTAGTAAGTTACCCGATGACGGCCCGAAAGTAGAACGTTCGAAACGCCGGGATAACAACAAAAAAAATGGGGACAACAGTCCTCATGTAAGTAATGTAAATAATGATAACTTCTCATCCCGGAAATTCAAATAATTTTTCTTAGTTTATAAAATAAATGACATATATATAAAATTTACTTTTATGTTGCTAAATATATTATTATTATTATTATTACTAGCAGCATGGCCTGGCGTTGCCCGTGCTTGATTCAAAAATCGTACGACTCATACAGCAATCGCTATCACTTGACTTAAAATGTTTTTGTCCTTCCTTGACTTTAAAGGAGTGCCCTTTGCCGTGCTGATGTTGCTACATGCCTTACTTCTTGCCTATCTCACGCAAAAATTTTTTCTAAGCTCTATACTAAACATTAAATCTGTTACGAAAAAGAACTAAACGAAATGAACACAAAACGATCAGCTTTAAAAAAAAGGACTCGTAAGTGGAAGAACCGAATGAAAAAACGTTAACAACAAATACTTTTCACACCCAACCCAGTTGTGTGGAATCAGAATCAACGTTGAGTTTAAGCAAGCGAATGAGCCAACTGGAGTAAAGTGCCATGCAGATTTAAATTTTTCCCACTTGTGACGAATGCAGCTATCGATTTTTTTTGCATGCTAGCATACTAGTTAACATTCGTGTCAGTCAGCTGTTGGCTCTCACGTTGGCCAATAGAATCTTCCTGCCTATTCGTGGCAGCCAGTTATAGGCTCTCACTCTGGCCAGTACAAAATAGCCGCAAACTACATGAAAACTGCCGTAGAAGCATAAAAAAAAATCGATTATTTCCACTATCGATGTGAGTTGGGAAATGCAATGTCGATCTTGGCCTTCCCGCTAACTTGGAGCATGTGCATGTAAATTTTGGTGCAAATCCGTCGAAAATTGCGCGCGAACACACACACACACACACACACACACAAACATCCTGCCTTATATAGATAGAGATTATCTTTTGATTTCTGCTATGGTCACATGACCTACCAAGTGTGCAGAAAGACCTAAGGCAGGTAGGGGAGTGTTGCTATGGCTACATTTCATTATTTGTTTTTTTAACTCCCATAACATCATTAGCGTTACATGGACAAAGTTATTCTTAGTGTATGGGATATATGGATGTGAAACGTGGACACTGTTGGCAGAAACAGAGAGAAGGGTCCAAGCGTTTGAGAACAAATGCATAAGAAAACTGTTTGGCATCTTCTATTGGGAACATAAAACAAATGAGTTTGTGCAGAAAAGAGTTGAATGTTTTGTGGAACACCATGAACCTCTTATTGCCACTGTCAAACGGAGAAAAATGGCGTGGTTTTGACACGTTACAATGCACGTCAGCCTATGCAAGACCATCATGCAAAGGCACTGTTGAAGGTGGACGTAGGAGATGACGCCAACGCAAAACCTGGTTGAACAATGTCAAACAATGGACAGGTATGACTGTACCAGAATTGCTGATGGCTGCCATTGATAGACCGTTATGGAGGAGATTCAATATGGCTTCTGCATTCGGGTCCCAACTACGATTACAAAAGTCAATATGATGATGATGATGATGATGATGCACTTATCAAGACTTTTCAATATGCTGTTGTGTTCTTTTTTTATCATTCCAAGCGCACCTACTATGACTGGTACTTTACTTGTTTTCAATTTTCACATTTATTATTATTATTATTATTTATTTAATTATTACTTTTGACGCTATTTTATATGCATATTTCCTTATCACGTTAAAACACCGGTTTTCATACGATCACCGAAGTTAAGCAACGTCGAGCCTGTTTAATACCGAGATTGGTGGCCGCTTGGGGGATGCCAGGTGCTGTAAGC